TTTTAAAGGTTTATGATAACCAGAATATTAAATGGAAAACATTCAACAGTCATTGTTTGGGTTACTTTGTACCCATAGTTATCTAAACTAGATAAATATATAAATAGATATCTAAATAGATATATAATTTGTCACTCTTGAGTTAAATCTGGTAATGATTAATGTAACATATTTTATTTTACAAACTGTTATTTATCGAAGCTGCATGTACAATATATGAAAGACAAGCTTAATATTCACAAAAAGTTATTTCTGTAGTGAAATCTTGAGACAAATCAAGCATTATACCTTTTCACAAGCAGTGCTATAAATTAGATGATTAATTGATGCTTTATTAAGTTTTAAGACACAGCCATCTTTAAGTTGCCCCTGCACATCCTTAATGTTTGCCTGCACTGTTTTTGCTTCTCTCTATTAGATGCTTATATTATATTAATGACAGATTGCAATTCAAACACCTTGTTTTCATTGGTAATTCATGTTTTATATAAAATGTACATTATAACTTATTGGTACTTATATCATGTTATGAAATATAGCAAAAGCTACTGACATTGGTTAATGGAAAATGAATGTGATTTAATTGTATTAAATAACCAACTGGATACTTTTTACATTATTATTTTAATTGCCCATTCCAGCAAAACATTCTTATGTCAATTGATTAACCTTCAAAATGATATAATAATTTAAAAATAAACACTTAGATATAAAGACTGTATTCTTGAAATGACGTAAACACTGACGGACTACTTCCACATACCTGGGGAAACCCCTGGGAATTCCCTAGCACGAACACATACATAACTTTTAAGCATTATTTCTGATCATTTAGAACCTTTAATCTTGGTCTCAACATTTCAGTATACATTGAGAAACGCAAGAGAGCTTGACTGCATGATTGTTCACAAATTTCCTCGCTACGTCCCATCCTAATGAACAAACGAAAAAATGCACATCCAAACTATCGTCAGTATTGATTCGATCTGTGTCTAGGCTAACAGTGACCGTCTCCAGCAATCTACGAATTTAACTTGGTGTCTGTTTGACGCATCTTTAATCACCTTTTAATAATCGGTCAGTTGATCAATGATGACCAACACATGTAACCGCCACAGGTTCATTAACAACTTCTGAAATCCTCCCGTCACGTTTATCGTGTCGGCTATTTTGACGTCTTGTTCTTGATGTAAATGTATTACGACGCGCTGTCATTGTGACTGACTTACTGAGGTAGTTCATTACGTAAGCTTGGGCACGCAAGAAACCTATGATTATGGGTTCGAATCCCAGTTCACCCGGATTATGTTTCTAGGTTTGTCAGCACCATACCCGTGCTCGTGGGTGTCACCGAAGTTGTACACGTCTGAGACCTGTATCACTTCAGGCTTTCTTCTCACATTAAGCTGATACGCCGTGATATAACTGGAATACTGTTAAAAGCGGCGTTAAATCCAACCCACTCACTCTGCTTCTGATATTTGTAAGCTCAAAGATATAGCTCCCACTCAACTGTTTTCATTGCCTCCTTGGCAAATGGCAAATGGCAAATCCAGAGGTAGACCTTACATGAACAAAACTAAGGAAATCAGATACTAACCAATTAATTTACCAACAAGAACACAGTCAATTAAGAGACACTTATAAATTTATATTTACAGATGGATCCAAGGATGGTGGCGCAGTTGCTAGTGCCAATATTACTGGATCCAGAACCATATCTTCAAGAGTACCAGATAACAGTTCAATATTCACAGCAGAAGCAAATGATTTTCTAACGGCTCTAACATATATCAACAACAAATCTGAAACATTTCATTTCAGAGTTCAATTTTTTTCAGATTCTCTTTTACTACAGGCTATTAAACATGTGTGTTGCACACATCCACGTTTAATCGAAATTGTTGAAATGTTTTATGATCTTGCTACCTGGCAATACGACATCGTTTTTTGTTCGTTACCGAGGCATGTTGGAATCAGTGGTAACACAATGGCTGATGCTGCAGCTGAGGCAGAACTCAAATCAAATAGAGTGATCATAAAGATGTGATCAGATGTTACATGATGGATCTTATGCAAAATAATCGGGACACCCGAGTAGGTAACCACAAATTCCATCAAATATTAATGTAACCAACTATCGTCTTTTTACACTTACTTGGTTTGTAAGTCCCGATTTGGAAAGGTCGTAATGCGAGGAAGTAGCGTTATATGGTCATGAATATTTATTGAAAGGCGAGGATCCTCCGTTCTAGAGCCATTGTCTTGAAGGAATCACGGTTAAGCATGCCGTCCTTGACTCTATTGATTTTCCATTACAGGGTATAAATATTTCAGCCCAAACAGCCAAGGACCATTTTGGTCATGTTAATTCCAGTTTCATATTGTGCTATTTAACAGAAATAGAATTACTTAATAACCTTTTTTATGTTCAAAGTGTGTTATTATATACATTGGTAGTGCTCATTAGTGACTTAAATTGTAAGTGGCTGTACCCTTGAAGTAACGTAAAAGAATTGTCCCACTAAAAAGGGTATGCAAGTGCCACGTCATTCAAAATATTTTTATGCATGCCTGAGTTTTTAAAGAAGTATATTTGTCATTTTATGGCTAAACATGCATACAATAGCCAGCAGCTGAAGGATCGATGTAAATCCTGCTGGGGAACCGCGCAGGTAGCAGAAAGTCCTCACAGTCCCTATTATGGTGGCCTCACTGAGTTGCGGGCGATCTATGTCCCATTTTTATGTTATGTTGTTGAATGATAATTAATTCTTTTAAATGTTCTCAACTATTTATAAAATCAAAATTGAAATACTCTAGTTAGTATACTGTCCGTCGGATCTCGTCATGATATGGCTGAAATATTGCCGATGTGACGTTAAGTGTAACTCACTCACTCAGGCACTGCATCAATATGGCAGCGGTCTGTAAGTAATCGAGTCTGGTCTGTCAGTGCAATGACTGTCTTTGATAAATTGGAATACGATGCCATCAACCAAGTCAGGAAGCCTGACCATTCGATCCCATAGATGCCTCTCACGACAAGTATGGGTTGCTGAACACCAACTTTAACCTGGATCTTCACTGGTAGTCGATTATCTACCGAAACAGATTCCATTGAGGTAAAAGGCAAACTAGTGATGAAAATCATATACTATAAATCAGTGATGACACTAGGTTTTCGCGACAAGGGTAATCATATCCTGATCCACCGGCATCACCCGCCACTTACACAATTTACGTGTTTGGTTGTTGGTTGTTGCCTGACGCCACACCCAGCTATACTCCTGCCATACGACGGCGGTCTGATGTCACACTGTGAAGGATGTAGTGCGTCGCCCTAGTTTTGGTGGGGCTTGATCCATGGGGCATTCTTGCGAACTCCTCAAATGATTTTTAGTAATCAATTCATATAGGTTTAACCACTATTTTGCTTTTTATGCCCAGTTGGCTCTGTTTCGTTAGATAATCAAGACTGATTATTCTCCTTCTAAGACGGTTTATAATATATCTACAGATGGAGATACAGGTAGAAGGGGAAACCCCGAGGGGTGCACGTCCATTTTCCTACAAAGAGGGGCATATTACTGGGTCCAACAAATGTACTACGAAATTCCTGTCTCAAAGATTAACCATCATCTTTGATACTATCAAGGACAAATCTATTCACAAGCAAACGTAGTTAATACCATGTGTATTCTAAAAACCTCTTTGGATTTAATTGTAGTTTTGCAATCTTCAATTGTGTCAAAACATTTTTTTCGACACTCTTATTTCATCACAATACTATACGATAAACTTTAAGAAAACTTGATCCATGATGCATTTCTCACTAAACGTGGTAACCATAGATATAGTAAAATCTATCTATGGCGATTGAGGACAATGTGTCAAAAATGAAAGCGAAAGTGCACTGAGAAAACACTATGTGAAATGCTAGACTTCCTCATTGAAAACATCTATGTCAAATTTGGGGAAGGAAACGGCATCTCCGTGGCCCCTTCTTGCTGATTTGGATTGGCAAAATCAAACTAAAGGAATTTAACTTGTGCTTCAGGTATTTTGATGATCCCATACCGTTCAAAAGTGGTCAAATAGCCAATTACCTTCCGCTGAATTACCAACACAAGTTAAAATTAGGGACCAGTGAAACCGCCAGATCTGCAAGATCTTAGTCAAGCTTTCTAAACGTTGTGGGGAACATTGCCAAATTTGACGCATCAGTGACAACATGATATATGATGCAATTCCCTATTTTCACTAGTATCATATATATCCATGTTTTTTCAGGTGAACAATTGACTTACCTGTACATGTGTATGTGTCGGTGGTGAAAGATACACTCGTCTTTTCTCTAACACCTGGTTGAAAGTGGCTTGTCGCTTGTATGTTTGATCGGAGAGAACGTGCAGGCCTGTATGGTACTATCAGTTCCTGTAAGTATGCAGGAGCTTAACTATGAATTGCTTTGTAAACCAGAGTGGGTACTTTAAATTGCACTCTTTGTTGGATAGGCAGTGTAGTTAAGTCAATATATATAAACTGTAGAATATAAATTCCGCTAATTAAGTCAAAGTATTACCGTACGTTTACATGGATAAAAGCGAATAAGGGGTCGGATTGTGTTTTTTCTAGAAATCGGCAGGTAGTAATATTCAAGCTGTATTAATTTGACCGTGTCCTGTATCTAGCTAGGCTAGTATGCAGTAGCAACGATATCTATTCCACCATGTCCCTGTAAAGGTCATGAAGACATGTGATTCAACATTTAGTGTTTGCAACCAGAAGACATTAAGCTTGTATGAGGCCTATATTGATTTTCCGCGGATGTACCCAGGGAATATCATCATCAAACACTATAACAAATTGCGTACAGAGTCGACGAACGCTCTGACTTTTCATTTGAAATCCTTGTCCTTTGTAATCCTACCATTGGAACCGAGATGGAAACGAAGTTGACAGTGGCTGTTTTCTTAACGCTAACATGTATGTCCACAATGGATCTGCAAACTGTATCTAACAATGTGTGTTTTGATAATGTTGATGAAGTTAGAAACATTAAACATAAACAAGTTATTGTCGGAACCACCTTTATCACCTTCAAGGACCTTGGTCTTCTTGGATGCGTCAAGCAGTGCCTTGTCAGAGAGAAATGTCAGTCCTTTAACTTCCACTTTGACAAGACCACCTGTGAACTGAATGCCATCAACAGCAGTACGACCGACGCTGTCGTGTCAGCTGACCAAGGAAGTGCCTACAGTGACATCGAGTCATGGCCAAGACGAGTCGCTGGTTCCTGTTGGAACCACACATGTGCTGTCAACTCTGTGTGTGTGGATTATAGGAACGATTCCCCCTACTGTAGAGTGGAGTGCCCTGATCCCCAAACTGTAAGAAATGGTCAGATTCTCTCTCAACGCAACTGCCACGAGGTTGGTTGTGTCATTGAGTATAACTGCTCTGTTGGCTATGTTCAATCGCGGGAAGCTGTCTGTGGACAGGATGGTTCCTGGTCCTCGTTCAAGTGTGTGCGAGGATGTGGTAATCCACCATTGGTGAACAATGCAGTTCTAGATGACAGTGAAAACCCCTTCCCCGTTGGAAGAGTGCTGAACTACACATGCAACAAACCACTGGTCGGTCTAGGAAAGGTACAATGCAGAGCTGATCTGACATGGTCGAAAATGGAATGTATTCCTATTGTGAGAAGTTGTGTCGACTTGAAGGCATGTAATTCAAGTTACACAGATGGTGAATATTGGTTGGTACCGAAAGTATTTGTTGACAAACCATCAAAAATATACTGTTACAACATGAAACGAAAACCACGAGAATTTATCACACTTCCAGAAGAGAACTATGTTGACTATTCCGACACAACCTGTGAGTCCAGTCTCAGTCGTACAATGTGTAAAGGATGTAAATCAGTAAGGTATGAGAAGTTTCAAATTTCGGACGTATCCAGCATGAAGTCGGACCGTCATGGCCTCAGAGATTGCACTTTTACCAACATTACAAGACCTTGCTTCGAAGTACAGTTTGGAAGCGCTTTTGACTGCCACGTACTCTGTGGTAGCTCGGATTCGAGACGTTTTGTTATAGATACAAGAAACACTGGATTGATGATTGATCCAAGCACTAAATGGTTTACCTTTGTGGGAAGAGGAAAGACACATTTGGAAATGGAAAATGTAACGAAAGCATTTTCAGGAAATGTTCTCCAAGGGCACTGTCGAGAACGATGTCGATGGTGTTTCCCAGAAAAAGACACCCTCAAGTTAGTACTGGATCCGATTTTTTTGCCAGATGTGATCACTGCAACCATCCCTACATGTGGCTAACTTCAAATTCATGCCAAATATACAGTAGGTTCTTGTTTACAGTGGATAACTTAACGAGAGACACTATTTAAACAAAATGAAGTAACTCTTGATAAATTTGCCTTTTTTATTAACTTATCATTTAGTCCCCAGTCTCTGTGATAATGACATAGTGGTGTAATTGTAAACAACACAGTTACACCACTCGATTTCAGCCTCAAGGTGCTAATTTAAAGTCGCTGTAAGTATCAAAAGCTGTGACATCTAAATTGCTAGATACGTGTTTGTGGGATTCACACTAAATATTTTGTAATATAGATTTCATTTGTGAAACATAATGTCACAAAAGTATATTTGTGATGTCTGTGGTACAAAACGTGAGTTTGAAGAATTTAATATAACCAAACATTGAAAACGACATATTTTCACATATTTCAAATTTCAATCAGCTTGTGATGGCAGTTGTTAATGAATGGATACTGCATCTGTGCATTTGATTATTTATAATAATTGTTTTGAATTCAATGTAAATGATCTACATGTACGTCTTGAAAACTAGCTATTTTCTCAACGAGCAACTTTCAATCACCTTATGATGGCGCTTCTAATGGATGAATACCATGAATGCATTTGATGGTATCTATCATACTATTATCCTAAGAAACAACCAATTCGAATCTCCTCAACTCCTCATTAACAGTACTTATATGTAGTCCAGCTAAACAAGGGCCTTTCGAGCCTTCGATTATTTGATATGTGTTTTCAATGACATATAAATGATGTATGTCTTGAAGACCATCTATATTATCAGCGGAAATGTACGTGTTTCTACCGGGTCTTTGACTGTGTGCAGTGCACAATAAGGTTTTATAACCTTGTAAATACATGAAGTTTGCTTAACGTGATTAGATTATAACAAGCTCCTATTAATCTGTATTTATTCCATATTCCATATCCCAGTTATTCCACATTCAGTTAAATCTAGAAAGATTATTTCTCGCTGTTTTACGTACGCAGGACGATGACAAGTATATGAAAACACTACTCTTCATGCGTGTGTAATTGATTGTCTTCACTATTTGTTGCGTTTATGGAGGTGTAAACGTATTAACAAGATTTACGAAAGAATTGACATCTGGCTTTTTTCCGTTATTTAAGAGAGGGAGTTAACGGTAGAATAAAACACTGCAGTGAGAATAAACAATAAGGTGCGCAACGGCGAGTGGTTTATTCTCACTGCAGTGCTTACTTACGATAAACAACGGCTACGATCGTTTATCGTTTATTTCTTATGTGAGATATGAACATTTACAGCATCTTTAAAGATGTCATGTCTATCCCTTTTGGATGCGATTGTTCGGCCATCGCCTTTATCTGCCTTGCCAGCTAAATCTGTCACGAGACACTTCCCTCTTAAAAAACGTTGTCAAATATACGACGTCATCAAGTTGCGAGCGCATGTTCGAATCTCCAGAAATGACGTTATGATAGATCAATGTTATATCGTGAAATAAACCACGCTTCGTTCTTAATTGTTCTTTGTCATTAATCGCGCAGCTGTCTTGTATCCCCCCAGTCCTTGTTTTATCCCGTTAATGCCGAGGGCCAGGAAGGATACCAAGAACCATATTTTAACATATTGTTCTTTGTGACGGCCGGGGTTCGAACCATCCACCTTCCGCGCTCCCGGCGGACGCTCTATCAACTAGACCACAGAGGTGGTCCCAATGGCACGATGACCAGAAGCTGCATTGTTCCAGAAAAATAAAGTGATAATTGTTTCTGTATTTGTAAAAGAAATATGTCTTCGCTGTTCTAGGTATTATCGATTCCAGCCTCCAACTCAATTTCAATATCAAATTTTCATGCTGTAAATTACCAAGTGTTGATATCAAAATAACCTTTAAGTTTTCCATCTATAATTCAATCGAGCAAAATATTTGACTATTTAAGAGATATGCTTAGTCTATTCAAATGCTTGTTTCACAAACGATAAGATATTCCTGTCTCTTGAGAAGTGGATTTGTCTTCTTAAATTGATGGAAGAAATTCCACCAAAAGTGGAACGAAGTTGTCGTAATACCATTTCTTCTCCAAAGAGAGGCATTGTTAAAGAGGCATTGCTGTAAGTATGCGAATTAGCAATGGGGCCGGGTAAATCGTGGTACGCTTGGGTGTCTTGAAGGAGCACAAAGTTACCACTTGTCATGGATGTAATGCCATATTTAGGGATTCCGCTTTAAAATACAGATCCCAAGGAACTTATGATCATGAGAGGGGGCACGGATGGCCCTGTCGTCTAAAACGCTGCAATTCCAGTTGCGTCCCTTGAGCACGCCAGCACCCTATGATTGTAGGTTGGGATGCCGGTTCACTCCGATTATATTTCGTAGGTTGTAAACGTCTGAGACCTGCATAACCTCGGGCTTTCCTCACACATAAAGCTGACACGCCGTAATATTACTGGGATATTGTCAACGGCGGTGTTCAACCAAACTCACTCACTAACTGATTGTATGAAGCGACGAGATCGCTCGTTCGTTGGCTAAGTGAATTTGAAAGTTATCGTATCCCATTTACGTGGTTCCATTCTGATGTGAATGACTGGATTTTCTGGTCCGGATCGCAGTCATATTTATGAAATATTGCTGGGTTCAGCGTTAAACAACAAACAAAATTATACACCTCATTTGCAATGATCGAAAAAGAAATGTAGTCCTATTTTAAGGAGCTATGCCTATTTAAAGACCTGTGATTCAAGTTATTCCGAACCAGAGAAGATCCGGGTTAGAATAGGTCTTCAGCAACCCATGCTTGCCGTAAAAGGTGACTCTCCTCGTCGTAAGAAGCGACTAGCGGGATCGGGTGGTCAGGCTCGCTGACTTGATTTGATGTATGTCATCGTATCCCAATTGCGTAGATCGATGCTGTGATGTCAGTCACTGGTTTGTCTGGTTGAGACTAAATTTGTTTACAGAAGGTCATATACCTGGAATAATCCTGAATGCGACGCTTAACAACAATCATCATCAACAACAAGTTATTCCAACGGCGAACACTCACTCGTTCTGGAAGTATTTCACAGGAAACAAACACTAATCCTCTGTGACATTATGTATTGGAAAAAGTCTCATTTTTACCCTAGGTGACGTGCATGCGTCAGTGTGTGTGTGCGTGCGTGCGTGCGTGCGTGCGTGCGTGCGTGCGTTCGTACATGTACTAGTCCGGACCATGCCGCAGTTTAAGTGAGTGAGTGAGTTATCGGATTAATAATGTTACGCTTTAGGCATGACATTTAGCATTGTAAAAGCGCGATATGGACAGTTATTCGTATCATTATTGTAGTGAAGAGGAAAGTGGAGTGCATATAGTTGACGTTCAAATGACCAATTAGGATGACTGGCCCTGATTACTATATATTGTATCAACGAATAATTTAGCGTACTTTTGTATAAGATTGCTCTCCAAGATTTATGTATCTTAATATGCTTATTAATATTTTACATTCTGCATTTTGTTTGGTATCGAGGACCTAATGAGGCCTCTCTGTTTCAAAGTCTTACGCTTGTGAATGTCAGAAGTTCAATACTGTTCACGTTTCATAGATGTATCGGTTTTCACAATGCACGATAATTTGATCCTTAGTTTAGTTTATGTGGTCTTTTCTCGGTTTTCAGTGAAATTATTTGACTGTGACGGTGCCCTAGGACCTCGAATAAACTAGAACTCTCTTCATTTAACAATCTCATTAAAATCAGATCTTAGTTCTCTCTATCGCTGAACAAAGATGTGAGGACATCCCATTACGGGTCACGTCAGAACGACCTTTCATCCAACCAATCAGAGCCTCGCTTACCAGATCATGAAAGTGACAGACGGAATGTGTTTTCTGATCATGCAACCTCCAAATATTTAAGAGAGGGTATTCCGAACGACAGTTACGGGTTTTATTTTTATATCCATACAATCTAGGCCTTCTGTAAGCCATTCCAGAATGACAATTTGTTCTTTTTATCAGTTATAAAAATTTTAACCGAGAATACGTCAAAATATGTTTCGAAGCGTAGTCGCCAGTTTGAAACTAGTGTCGTAAAGCTCGATAAAGCTGCCTTCTGATTGGCTAATGTCGATTTCTTGTCAGTCATTTCATTGATCCATCAAACTTCGCGTGAGGTCGTTCTGACGTGACCCGTAATGGGATGTCCTCAGATCTTTGTTTAGCGGTAGCGGAAACTCAAATCTGATTTTAATGAGATTGTTCATTTAATAATATATATATATATGTATTGGGGCCAGTTTTTCACCTTCGTTGTGAATCGTGGTCACACAAATTGTATCTGAGAACAAGTCGTCCCCTTCCCTGTAAGATTGTTTACTAACAAATAAGACTTACTACTAGCAACATCTCATATACCTTTCTTAAGTTTTATTTTATTTTTCTCGCATTTGATGGCCTCAGAGATGTGTAATCTGTAAGACCCTAACATGATTCAACAAATTAGTGTTACAACAAACATGACAATAATAAACCTTTCAAAAAGTTGTGTGGTAGTAATGTGGGTGGCACTTCCAAATTGTGCGCATCAGTGACAAAAATGAAGTCCAATGCTATTGCTTATTTTGACTAGTACCATATGTTCCCGTATCTCCAGGACCCACTTGCACCAAGCTACCTTAGCGCTACGACTATTGTAAGCCTATGTTAAAGCATGGGAGTTACAATCATCTTCGCGCTAAGATCGCTTTGTGCAAGTGGGCCCAGAAGCCTGAGGTGACTGAATGAAGTAGGGATATGTTTCTTGAAAAGAATATTGAAAATGCATGAAATGTGTCATGAATGAGTGACTTGCATTTTAACATCGTATCGGGATTTATGCAGCCATATAATAATGATACAGTAATAATAAATAAATTTAGAATGTATGTAATCTGTCGATAAAGGACAGTAAAACAACTAGGTCATCACAGTATTGTATTTAAAACTTGTAACTA